AAATGGAGCTGTCAAAATGGTATCCAGATGCCTTTTTTTATATTGCAGGTGAAACTATTACAAAAGGAGGGTGGGGTGAGTTAAGAACCAGGTTGAACTGTTCCATAGATAATGACCAGATTTACACAACATTAGTTTGAGCTGAGCATCAGCGGCCATTGTGAATTGCACTTGAAACATGGGTTGTCACATTGTCCGAATCCAGCCGTGCTTATGAGGCATGACTTATTAACTACAACATTTTATGAAGAGAACACGTGGTTTGTTGCTGGGTTGTGAATACTGTGTTGTTCACCATGATTGGTGATCTTGGCTGGGTTCAGACAACATGATAACCCATGGTTGAACAACAGCCCATATACAACCCATCCTCATTCCTTGAGTGTGGGCCATCATGTTGTTTGAACCCATCTTTAAGGGTAGGTATGGGTGGAAGCTACTGCTTGGAAGCTGGGGATAGTACTGGTTGTGACATTTTGTTCATATGCATGGGAAGGACCGGAGGGGGGCTTTGGGGCGAGTTGCCATGCACAGGTGTGGGAGAGCTGTGAGTTCGAGTGTGTGCCCCCCACTCATGCGCTTTGCTCTTGGCTTGAATCAAGTCCCAACAGGCCCGGCTGCCTTCAGTCACACAGCTATTAAGTTAACAATGGGTGTTTGTTTGGTTGCTTCATCTTTCTAAAGTGCCATGTATTTACTGGAGCAGGGGAAGTGGGGGAAGGAGAAGAGGAGACTGCAAGAGTTGTCCTTCCACGCTCCTTCCTCCCTGGAGGCTTTGGTCAGCCCACGGTTAAGCCCTGGAGTGGGATGGCTGACAGCGGCAGGGCCGGCTGAGCAGGGGGGGGGGGGGCGGCGGGGGGAGCACTGGCTTGCCAAGAACTCAGAATCACATGATTCTAATCCTGTGGCAGTGTTGTCCGCTTCTTCCCCTCCTCCCTTCACACAGCACAGGGGCGGATTAGCGCCTGTCTCCCCTTAATGGGACTGTTTACCATTGAGGAGCAAATAATGTTTAATGTCTACTGGATTATATAACAAACACAGCGATTACCGCTCTCTTTCTCTCTCTCCCTCCCTCCCTCCAACATGTCATGCTTGGGAGTGAGGGCACAATTGCTGTAGCTTAGAATGGTTGGGTCAGGCTTGTTCTCCCAAGCTAGACCTTGGTTTGGAGGTTTCTTCTCATCTGCTGGTACCTAGTCAAGCCCTCGCTCCCAGCTGTGGGAATGCCTCATCTCTCTTTCTCACGCACTTGGTGCACTTCTGGATTTTGCTTCCTTTCTGTGTTGGCCTGTTGAGATTTTGCTTATTCATCAATGCATACATTTCTCACTTTGCTATCACACCATTTGTTCTTCTTGCAAGGAACCCAAGGTGGATTAGGTAGTCCTCCTCCTCTCCTTTTTTATCTTCAAACCAACCCTGCAAGGTAGGTTAAGTTGAGAGTTAAAGCTCAAAGCCACTCAGCTTCATGGCAGAGTGGGGACTAGAACCTGGATGCCCAAGTTGCAGTCTGGCATTCTGAGCAGAAGGTCACACACTTTCCCATCCCCACACTTGCTACTACATGTGAGGCCTCTTGGAGGCGGCCCACCTCCTTGGCTTTTGCAGGCACCACCAGCAGCATCGCAGAGATGGGTTCACCACTGTGGTGTCGCCCCGTGCAGTGGAAACCTGTGCAAAGGCAGGCACTCTGCAGGCAAAGCAAGAACCTGCTCTCCTACTAAAGCAGGTGCGTGCCGGGGCTGGAGAGTGGTGTAAGCAAGAAGTCTGTGGCAGCGGATTCAGAGGACACCGACAGCCCCATTTGGGAGAGTGGTAGCCTGTTAGGCGTGTGTACCTGTGTGCCTCCTGCAGAAACAGGTCTAACATGCCTAGGTATTGTGAGGTATCAGTGAGGAGGCATATCTGTCAATGCTCAGTAAGAGCTCAGTCTGTGCGAAGCATATGGTGGCGGGAAATGGAGTGGTTTGTGGCAAAGCACCAGCCTCCCCCCCTGCCCCCTTGGCTGTGCTCCCTTCACGTCTGCCCCACATTTCCTATTCTGTTTCTTTTCCCTTCACGCTCTGACTTACTTTGACGCTCTCTTTCAGTCCGCGACATATTTTCCTACCTCAGATCTTGTTACCCAGGAAGACACTCAAAGCCCCATTGAGTGTCTTCCGCACCACTGGCCGTGCCCCGGCCTTCCGCAGCTCCTTGACCCCTTCTCTCTTTGTTGGGTGAGGTTCAGTGGGGAGCCTAAGGCACTGCAGGGGATTCAGATAGAAAAGATAGATACCAGATCACTCCGCCTGCCCAGGTGTCCCCCTTCCCCACACTCTTGGGACGGCCTTTGGGATTTGTAGGGTTAAACCCACCAGTGATGAACTCTCTGAGCCAAAGTCTTTCATTATGCCCTGGACCTTATCAGTGGTAGTTCTGTCCCTGCCCTGAGCCAGACAAAGGGGGCATTCAGCAACCCCTGGACTCCCACAGCTCTCGCCATGCCTGCTTCTTGCAGTGGGGGTGGCTGTGCTGGGTGACAGCCAAGGAACAGCAGTTTCTTGCTGACCCTGACACCTCAGACTTTGCCTCTTCCAGATGGGAGAGGCCTTGGTTGACTCCAGGATCCTGCTTGGGGATGTCAGGAAACTGGTAGAAATGGCTTGAGTTTAGAGTCATAGAATAGTAGAGATGGAAGGGGCCAGGAGGCCATTGGGTCCAACCCCCTGCTCAGTGCAGGACTCCCCATTAAACCAGCCCTCTCAGATGGCTGTCCAGCTGCATCTTGAATGCCTCTAGTGTGGAAGAGCCCACGACCTCCCTAGGGAAGTGGCTCCATTACTGTACTGCCCAAACAGTCAGGAAGTTCTTCCTGATGTCCAGCAGGAATCTGTCTGTCTGTAACTTGAGCCCTTTATCCCATGTTCGATCATGCACTCTGGGATGATCGAGAAGAGATCCTGGCCTTCTCTTGTGTGACAACCTTTAAAGTTCTTGAAGACTGCTATCCTATCTGCCCTCAGTCTTCTCTACCCAAGGCTAAACATGCCCAGTTCTTCCAAGCTGTCCTCCTAGGGCTTTGTTTCCAGCCCCTGGATCATCCTCATTGCCTTCTCCTGAAGCTTTTCTGCATCTTTCTTAAAGAGCCAGTGTGGTGTAGTGGTTAAGAGCATGGGACTGGGAATCAAACGATCTGGGTTCTAGTCCCCACTCAGCCATGGAGCCAGCTGGGTGACTTTGGGCCAGTCACAGACTCTCAGCCCAGCCTACCTCACGGGGTTGTTGTTGTGGGGATAAGATGGAGGAGGAGAATAATGTAAGCTGCCTTGAGCCCTTTGTAGGAAAAAGGCAGGATATAAATTGAAAAATAAATAAATAAATAAATAAATAAAACTGTGGCACCCAGAACTGAACACAAGACTCCAGATGAGGCCTGGTCAGTGCTGAATAATAATAGTGCAGGGATGCTGGGTTGCCCTGTTCCTAACTCTGCAGCAAAGGGAAGAAGTAGGTGGGACCAAACATTGAGGGCCAAGGTATCTGAGGGAGGTTTAGTGAAGGAACACCATGGGCCTTTCTTCCTCTTCCCTAATTTTTAAAATTTTTGCTCACACATGTGCACGCACACTCTGTTTTGTTCCCAGTATTTCCCCACCTCCTTCTCCCTGCCTCTCCCATTGCTGACTGCAACCCTAATCTTGCCTCCACCACTTTACAGGAAATGCCCTGCCCTTCCCTGCTTATGCCAAACTGCCCCAGATTCAACAGCTTCCTGGAGCCAGTGAAGGAGGATCGATGGGGCTTTAATGGAATCACTCATGTGCTATAATGGCACGGGGTGGAGTGGGGGGGGCTAATAATTGCCTGGGAGAGCCAGGAGAGAGGGCTGCTTCCAGGGACTGAGGTTGGAAAGGGTGGGTGGGTGTCACCAGCAAGGCCAGGATTAGCAGAACAGCTGCATGCTGGTTCTGGGCAGGGTCTTCTGCCAAGCTGGTGGAACGTGCTGTGTGTCATTTTGGTGGACTGAGTTCAGCTCCCAGCCAGTGGTTTGCTCTGTCAAGTTTCCAGAATACCCTGCCATGAAGCAGCTGCCTTAGGTGGCCACCGATTCTGGTCTGTGGGACCCAGTGGATTGGGAATTTGTCACTGTAATTTGTCCTGTGCAGGAGCACTTCCCAAGAGATTTTTACCTCCCCTCCCCATGTTGATTGGGGAAAGGCTTTCTCCTCCCCAGGCACTCCCTGCCTCAAGTGCTACAATGTCTTGGTAGATGAAGAGTTGCTGCAGCAACAGCAAAATTGTCAGAAATATTTGGCCATCCCATCCCATATTTGGAAACAGGGCTTCCCCTGCACAAAGCTTTAGTTTTGCCTTTCTTAACCTCGCTGTTAACATGTCTTGGGCCAGGCTTGTACGGTGCTGATTTCTTCCTCCTCTTGTCCCCCAAATTGCCCTGAAACAGACATGTAAAAGGTCCCATCAGGTCTCAGCGGACCAGGCATGGTCTCGCCCACAAAAATCTCTCTAGCCCTCCGATTAATCAGTAACTGCCTGCAAGCACATTGCAAGGGATTCCTATGTTCCCCACCCAAGGGCTAGGCACAAATCCTGGCCTGCCCCTTTCTTGCTGCCTCACGCCCTTCCCCACACCCACCCGGTCAACTGACTGGCCAGTCCTGCAATAGCTGTCTCCTTTCTCCTAGCCAGGGCAATGTCCTTCATTCTGCCCTCACCTCTCTGCTCCTCGCCCGCCCCGTGTCACTTGCTCTGGGGTGCCAGGACCATGTGCAGAAGAGCTGTGAGAGCTCTATTTCCCTGGGATAATGGGCCCCTTTAGCCCCGTGTGGCTCTGTGATGGCACAGCAGAGATGGGAACAGTGGGGGCTTTGATTGGGGGGAGGTTATCACAGCAGCCATTGATGCAGTCTTGAATTGCCATTGAGCCCCCACCCCCACCCTGCCTCTCCCCTCTGTGTCAACTCTGGCGCTGCCTTATCTCGGTTCTTCCCCCGTAGGCATGTCTGCGGAGCCCGGCTGCCAGCAGACACCACCATGCGGGAGCTGAAATGCCCCTGGCGCGGCCAACCGGTAAGCACCAAACCTGTCTGGAAGTCTGGGGAAAAGTTGGGACTGCTCAAGTGGGGAGGTCACAGGCCAGCTACATTGCTGAGACTCTGCTTTTGGGGAGACAGGTGCCTGCTGTGAGTTGTTGGTAGATCCACTTCATTGGCGTGACCCAGTTCCTGCTTGGTATTAGATACCATCCCATGGTGCACTGCCATGCTCTTTGAAACTGGGAGCCTGGATCCTTTTCTCTAGAAGCACCGGCAGCAGCGTGTGTATGTGGGGGGGGGTGCCTTTTGTCTCCTTCGCGGCCCCGCCCCTGGGCCATTGTCTGTGCCTGCCTGCGCCTCTCTCACCTTCCCCCGAGATTTGAGGGGTGTGCCTGATGGTGCTCTTTCTGCAAGCACTGCCTCTGCTTCCTTCCAGCTGTTGCCAGCAGGGAAGGGATGGGGGAAGGGTTGCTGTAAGCGTGGTGGTCCCCTGCTTCCCGGCCGGCCGCCCCCTCGCCCCTGCCCCCACCTGAGGCTGGATGTCGGGAGAGGGAATATGTTGGCAGGGCGGGGGGGTCACTAGGTTTGAGATCCAGCCAACCAGGATGTTGGATGTCTGGGTTCTTCTCCCACCCCTGCCCTGGAAAGCAGATGGTTCCATTTGCTCAGGGATGAACAGGAAGGGGTTGCGGTGGGGAGGGGGCTGCTGCTGGGTTTGGAGAGGGTGAGGGAAAGCACCTTCGCAACTGTGTGTTTAGGCAGCAGCTGGGTCAGGGGAATTGGAGCAGAGACAGAGAGAAGGCACACCCGCCCTGTGCCCTTTTCCTGGTGGCATCTGTTTGTCTAGCCTTCGGTGGGGTGTGAAGAAGGAACCATGCAAACTTGCAGTCCCATTCCTTGCATACTAATGGTTCCCATGCCAAGTTGCCAGTGAACTTGCCAGTTCATGCTGTTTGGCTGCCCGGGCTCCCTGCTGAGCTTGTTGAATCTGTGGGATTGAATGCAGTGTCCCCCTTTTTCCTTCCTGTTGCTGCACTTAAAAAAAAGCCCATTAAATGGTGAGATGAACAGTAAACACCAGTAAGCACATCCCCTGCCCACTGTCTAACCAGCTTGTTGCACTTTGGGTGTTTTACATATCCATGTAGCTGTCACCTTTGCAGGCAATTAAATAACATTTAATAATGGTGGAAATGGGGCCCAGAGTGAGCTGGTGAGCAGGAAGAAGGGGGCAAAGCTTGTGCCATTCATGCCCCCACTGACCACTCTCTCTTGCCATGTCTGGCACGTGACCTCGCTGAGGGTGGGGGTTTAATTCCAAGGGGATGTGGCTTAATCGCCTTCCCTGGGCTGCTAAATCCGAGTCAGTGTCAGAAAGCAGGAGGAGGGCACTCCTTTGCAAGGTGAAAACTGCATGAGATTGCCGCCCCCTTCCACTTCCTCTTGCAGGTAATTCCATTCTCCTCCTTCCATCCCCTGGCTGGAGCTAATTGCAGACAGGGCCGTCCCTGTTGAAGCAGCCTGCTCCAGGTGGCACCAGGAGGAAGCGGGTGGGGAATAAACAAAGGCAGTGCTCGGTGTTTGAATAGAGCACAAGACTTGTTAAAGTATTAGCCCTCGCTCTGGGGAGTGGCAGGAGCACTGACGCTTGGGATCCGCGTCAGGCATCAAAATGGCTTGGGACAACGCTGGCTTGATGACTGTAGCAGGGCAATGTGCAAGGTCTTAGGTTTGCTGCATCCATTTTGAGGGATGGAGACTTAATAGGGCAAGAGTTGGAGGAAAGAGCACCGGAGCTGACAATCAGAGGCGCTGTTGGCCAGGGAGAGGGTACATGCCAGGACTGTTGAGTTCCGTAGATGCCGTAAATGACATTTTGCCTCCAAGCACATGTACAAGATTGCACCTCTTCCCTGTAGACCAGACCAGACCATCCTTGTCTAGTTCTCTCCCATGTACTCACTCGGGGCAATCAGAATATTAGCTTCACTTGTTAGCACAGTTGGTAGTCTGGAAAGAAATATTTCATTGTCTCCTTGAAATGTCATCAAATTGGCACAATGTCTCTTATTTTGCAGAAGCTAGTCTGGTTTCTCTAGTCTTAGGGAGGGGGCGTCTGCCCAGACTCCTTTTGGAACGCTGTAAGATGTACTTCACTTCCCAGCAACAAACGCTGAATGCAGCAGCTCCTGTCAGAGTGTGGTGCAGACCCCCCCCCCCAGCACAAAATGCAAACCAAAACCCAAAAAAGCTCAGAGCATTCTGGTGCAGATGTTGAACCTCAGGCAAGGGGAGACTTACTGGAGAATAATTGCTGCCTGTCTAGCAGTCTTTCCCAGACAGTATGCTTAACTCCAGCCTGCTGCTGTGCATGAATTGTGCACAGGTTTTGAGAAGCATGCACAGTTAAATAAGTCAGAGAATCCCGTGAGCTTAAAAAAGGGCTGACTGCCGTGTCTCTGCAGAATTCACTGGCACAGACTAATTCTGTTCCATTTCTGCATGGATGTTAAATTGTGCCCACTTCGGAGATGGGACAAAATTGTCTCCTCCTTGAGGAGGCTCCCTGTTGTTTGTCTCTGAGTTCTTAGTCTGCCTTCTCACCATGAAGAAACGTGCCTCAAACCTTCAACTGGCACAAGAACACTTGGGAAAGGAAAGGGCCCCGGTGACAGAGAGTAACTCTTACATACTTGAAGTCAGGGGAAAGGAACCCATGGCACTCTGGATATTATTGGCCTCTAACTCATCATCCCTGGCCCTCTTGGTAGGGCTGATGGAAGCTGGAGTTGAACAACATCTGGAAGGCAACAGATCCCCCAGTCTCTTTGCTTTTTTAGCCAAAGTGCATCTGTATTGTGCATCTTCTATTGGAGTAACAGTGGCTTAGCAAAATTTAGGACAGTGGCTCCCAACCTCTTTTCAGTTGTGCATCCCTTGGCAGGCCATTTCCATGAATTGAAACTTTCATATTAGGAAAATGTTTGCAATTAATATACTTGCTGTTATTTCAAATTTATAGGCTGTAATTGTAAATAACTTGCCCAATATTGGGATTAAAAGGTAATGGAATAATAAGGTGAACAGACAGTGCAAATATATTTATATTCAAAACTCAAAAGATACAATGAATTCAAGTAAAAATATCACAGATTATATAAAAAACTACATAACATTAATTGATACATTACATTTGTTACTTTAACAATTTAAAAAATTAATATGTTTTGAAATAATATTTATAAAACACACAACAAATATTTTATACTTAACAGATATTTAATGCAATCCTTCAGCTTGTTTTGAGGCACATAATTTTTTGAAATCAGGTTCAACTGATGTAAGATACAGTCTTAAACCTGGAACTTCATACAGCTTATTATGGTGTTTCTTTTCTATAAAGATATAACAGAAGAAGCATGCTCATTGTAGTGATATGTTTGCAACACATTGTTTAAGGAGGGACTCCCCACCACTCACCAAAATAACAAAGTGAATGAATGGAGCTTTCCTTGAGGTTAAATGATGAAGAAAACTGGCATCACCACTCGACAGAACATTCAATTATGTCAACTTTTATGTCAACAGTCAACTTTTGACTGGTATCTTGTCTTGTGTGTCTGCTGACATATGTGTTTCTTCCTGCCATTATTCAGTCTTTTTCACATACCCCTAAATGTCCTGGTTCATACTCCTGGAGGTATGCATGCCCCAGGTTACAAATCACTGATTTAGGGAAAGGCTGCGACAATGCCAGGCTTTGGTCCATTAATTTCTGGGAGAAATGCACTTTTAATGGGTTAAACTGTTGGTAGTTAATGTTGGGCCTATCTTTGGGGTTCACCAGAAGGCCGCATGCTGTTTCCTGATTGCCAAACATATACTGATTTTCCTGGTTGTACATGTTTCTTCCCCAGTTCTGAAAGTTTAAGATGCCTGAGTTTCTGGCATTATTTAAGGTAAAAGATACTGGTATTCGGGGTATTTTGGGCCTATCCTTTTTTGCCTTCAGCCCTATCCACCATTGGAATATGGCCCCAGGAGCTATTTGTAAAGGAATCTGGCCCCAAGGCTGGAAGAGATTCCCTATTGCTGTGTTAAAGGCAAGAGGGCCAAGCATAGCTGTCTGATGGTGAGCAGATTTTGGGCCCTGTTTACAGATTCCGGTTTTAAGGGCTCAGAGGCATCTTTGACTCACTTTTTATGATGTGTGCTCTGAGCTGGTTAGCTCTGATTGACCTGGGGGTGGCATTTCCATGGGGTTGACTCATAAGAGAACACAGTTTCTCAGTCATTTCCCCCTTGCCCTTTTTATGGATGATGGTTGGGAGTCTCTGTTGTTTAACATTATACTGAGGATGGGGGAAAAATAACTAGAGCTTCCAGTGCTCTGGTCTCTAATGATAATTTGAAAGCAGTTTATTAAAGCGTTACAAACAAAAAATAACAAATGAGCCCCTGCTGTGGTGGCTCAATGGAAATGAAGCTGTTTGGGAGGTAAAGTATCATATGGGGGTTGCACTGTAATGCCTGGTCCTGGCTCTGCAGGCCTCATTTGAATTCTTCCCCTTGCCTGCCCTCAAGGGAGCCTGATTATTTCAGGCCTCCCAAGCAGGTCTGGCAACAAGCACCAGCCGAGGGTCCACAGTCTTGGACCTCTTCCTCCTCTTTACTACATCCTGCTTGTTCAACTGCCCCTCTCCCCAACCCAGCAAAGATGTCCTTGCTCGTTGCCTGTTTGCCTGACAAGCAAGCAAATAGTAGCAATGATGAGAAGAAAGATGAAGAGCAAGAGTGGCTGGTGAAAAGCGGGGAAGGTAGACGTGCAGAGGGAAAGGGCCCATGGAGGGGGCCTTGCCCAAGGTGCCTCTAAAACCTGAAGCCAGCACTGCCCCTAAGACCTGTGAACTAGTGCCGGAAACTTCCCTTGAGCACTGGTCATCTCTTCTTTCTCTTCTTTTTGCCTAGGATTTGGCCATGTTCCTAGGCTACCAGCTGCTGTACCAAATGGTTCTGCTGATGCTCCTAGTGCCGTTGTCCCCAGCTGCTCGGCCTCCCTCCTACCCATCCTTCTTGGTCCCCAACACTACCTTCAATCATCTAGCCCAAGCCCAGGACACAGGGATGCTGTACGTAGGTGCCGTCAATGCCTTGTTCCAGCTGAGCCCTGAGATGAGGCTGGTGGGGCGTGCCCGCACAGGGCCGGCCCCAGACAGTCCAGAGTGCCTCCCTTTCCGCAATGCCCACGAATGCCCACAGGCCCGGCTCACAGACAACTCAAACAAGCTGCTGCTGACCAACGAGCAGGCCGGGGAGCTGGTGGTTTGCGGGCAGCTCTTTCAGGGAGTGTGTGAGAAGCGAGCCCTTGCAGACATTGCCAAGCTGTTGTACCATCCTGAGGATCCTGGGGACAATCAGTTTGTGGCGGCCAACGAGCCACGGGTTTCGACCGTGGGGTTGGTGGGGCACCATGATGGCCGTGATCTGCTCTTTGTGGGCCGTGGGCTGACTGCAAAGCTCTCCGGGGGAATCCCCCCATTCACCATCCGGCAGCTGGAAGGAGCCCAGGCCTTCTCCAATGAGGGGATGGGAAAGCTGGTGGTGGGCGACTTCTCTGACTACAACAACAGCTATGTGGGTGCCTTTGCCTCCGACGGCTATGTCTACTTCCTTTTCTCTCGGCGTGGGGCCAAGGCACAAATGGAGTATCGCACCTACCTCTCCTGGAGCTGCATGGAAGACACAAACCTCTATTCCTATGTCGAGCTTCCCCTTGAGTGCCGGGATGCAAAAGGGCACATCTACAACCTGGCTCAAGCCGTGCATTTGGCACCTGGTTTTGCAGGGAAAGGGAAAACTATCTTTGTGGTCTTAGCCACCGGGCAGGGCTCCACTGCATCCCCGACAGCGCAGACCGCCCTGTGTGCGTACAGCTTGGACGAGGTGAATGCTGCTGTGGAGCGGACACGGCGGCTGTGCTACACCTCAGCCGGGATGAGTGCAGCCAGGGAGGAAGAGGCTGCCATTGAGTACGGCGTGACCTCACGCTGTAACTCCTTACCCAAGGTGAGCGGGGGGGAGAGGAGGGACGTGGTGGCCGGCTTTATGTGGGGAGAGCAATGTACTTGCACTCCAGCCTTTCTGTTTTCGCATTTTGTTGACTTTTTCCCCCCAGGAGTCCCCTGAGGCTTACCCCTGTGGGGATGAACACACACCTAGTCCCATAGCCAGCCGAAAGCCAGTGGTGTCTGAGGCCCTCCTAGCCACCATGCCGAGACTGACAGCTGTGGCAGCCATGGTAGAAGCGGGACATACCATTGTCTTCCTGGGGGATGGCATCGGGCAGCTGCATAAGGTAATGCAGTGGGGGAGGGGGTGCAGTAATTACAGTCTGAGCTGTATAGTGGATCCCAACCTGATGTCCTCTAGACGTGGTGGATAATAACTTCCATTGGTCCCTTGCTGAATGGGGATTATGAGAGTTAGCCCACCACAGTACTAGATTGGAGAAACACTAGGGACTAGGCTAGAAGAGGCTGCAAGATTTTCTTCCCCTGCAGGCCCCTTACATTTGGAATCCACTGCAGTTGATCAATCCCACACACCTTTGCACGTGTTAAAATAGGCATTTGTGTCACTCCCTCCTTATCCACTATGTATTTATACGGACCTGTACCCAGGGCCAGCCCTACAATGAGGCAGAGTGAAGCAGCTGCCTCGGGCAGCCCATGTTGCAAGGTCACAGCAAAGAAGGGAGAACTATGGGCCAAATGAATTTCACTGCACCCCTTACACTAGCCTGCTGTCTTCCGTGGGGTAGAGGATGTTGCCCCATGACCATCACTGAGGACAGATTCACCTGCCAGTCCAATCAGCCTTTGTATATGGAAGGGGAGGGGACAGCATTTCATCCTTTGCATCAGGCAGCAAAATGTCTTGGACCAACTCTGACCAAGTCTGCTTTTCTGCAGGAGTATGTGTTGGGGCTTTTGCTTTTGGTTCTTCCCATGTGGAAGAAAAAGCATCCCCTGCACTCATCAGCTGGTCGGATGAATATCATGAGCAAAGTGTGGATGGCGGGAGTGGCTATCTCTGGGCCCAAAAACACATTGCACACTTGCAAACACATCCAGCAAAAGCTGATAGCACCTTTGCCCCCCCACCCCGACATCTCATGGAAAAAGGCAGTTTGGGAGGAGGCAATCTGGAGAGAAGAAAGAACAGCAGTAGGGAAATAAACTGTAGGAAGGGCACTGCAGCTTGGCTACATGTGGCAAGTAGTTAGGCCCAAATGCTGTGTGTGTGTTTTTGTTAGCACTTGCTTGATTGCTGCAGCAAGGCCCCTAGCTTGGTAGGTTAAGTAACAGAGAATGGCACCTCCATCCCAGAAATTGCCCTGTTTCAGTAAGGCTGACAACTACTGAAGCAACTTTTGGCTTCAGGTCAAAAGTGTAGAGCTTGGGGCAGAAACCATACATGCCAGGTGGCTGTACCTTTAGCTCTAAACCCTTCTATGTTGAAACATGGATTAGAAAACTTGGGGTCTCATAGCCCAGGAGGCATTGCAGTAGTTCCTTTGCAGATCCTTGGAGATCCCAGTTGGGTATGGGAGATGAAGGATGGAATTACTAATGCTTGTTGCAAGACACAGAATGTAGTACATGGGCACAGGTTCAGCATCCTTAGCATCAACTCTCTTCATCTTCATAAACAAGTTTCAGAGATAGAGGCTCTCCAGGAGGTAGCCAACACTTAGTGGCACTTCTGAAACCAGGAATTACGATGGGGTATTCAACAACTGCGGAGTGAATTTTCCCTATATAGCTCTTTTCCCATGACTAGGAGAAGCAGAATGTAAATCTCTGCAAGCTTAAATTGCATAAGATGTATAGATTGCTGAATTTAGCTCTGAGTGCAGAATTTGGGTCACCATGGAATAGACTTAAACATCTTCGTTTTGTTGTTTAGAGCACTAGGCCATGCTTGAACTTAAATACTTCCTCTACTCACTTTCCACTCATTGTGGACCAACAGCATCCTGTACAGAAGTAGCTGATGTGACCCAACCTGTTTGTGGAGCTAGGCTGGATCTGATTTTTTTTTAAATTGCAGGTGTCAAGTAGTTTAAAATTGCAAGTCTTACATGTATTGTACCAGAGCCTACTTGCAGTCAGAGGACTCCTCTCCACGCCCTCTCAGGCAATGTGTGAAAGCTGACACAGGACAGCAAATAAGGTTGTTTTACTGTTTGCTCTAGAAAGGCCTTTTTTAACTTTGGATCTAGTTAATGAAAATACCAGTTGCTCCGTATCACAAAACCCTAAATTAATAGTGCCATGAGACAGTTTGTTCTTTTTTGTGGTCTCTGTGCATCATACATGTGGGCTTTGGCATCAGTGCAATGCTTAGATCGGAAGGAAACTCTGATTTGGTTAATGATGCAGAAGCATCTGGATGATACATCTCTCTCTCTCTCTCTCTCTCTCTCTCTCTCTCTCTCTCTCTCTCTCACACACACACACACACACACACACACACACACACAGAGTGGGGAGAGGGGAATGCGGGGAGAAATAAGAATATATATGGATAAAATCATAGAAGAACAAACCAAGGACTAACTGTAGAGGCTGTACATATGTCTTTATGTTTATATATCAAGGGCAAAATGAGCCATCAATCTGCAGATGTGGGTATGAGAGGGCAAGGAGCCACATCTGGTTTCTCTAAGGGAGGGATGTGAGAGAAGACCCTTCTGTGGCATTAGGGACCTACTATCAGTCCTACAGCTCTGGCAAGATTGCTGCACAAACTCATGGAGGATAAAGGCTACGAGTCCTGAACATTGTATGCTACCTTTAGTATTGGGAAGTTGCTGTGGAATATGGGGAGGAGGGTGATGTTGTTTCAAATCCTGTGCGTAGGTTGCCTGTGGAAAGCTGTTCAGCTGGATGGACCTTTGGTCTGATCCAGCAAGGCTTTTCTTACATCTCTGATACCTGAAATTGAATCAAGGGGCTGGTGTTCCTGGGCAGTTCGAAGGGCTTACGAGCCTTCCTTGAGATGTGGAGTATCAAGCACTCTGTCCTGTTCTGCCCACAGAATTCCACAGGCCAAGGTGTAGGCATTCTGATGCCATCCAGATGTTTTGGAGTACAGCTCCCAGAATCCCTGGCCATAATCCATGCTCGCTAGGACTTATGGGAGTTTTGGACTGCAACATCTCAGGACACTGTGTTGTGCAATCCCATGCACTGCTTCAGCATAGAACTGGACAGGATTTAGCCTTATGATCATCTTGGCCTTCCTTTTCTAAAGCCAGTTTCTGGACTGGAAGAGTGTGTGGCTCAGTGGCACAAACCACATTTTGCATATGGAAGATGGCATCTGATCCAGCCCTCTGCTACTGAAGGGTTCTGGATAGCTGAAAGATGCCAGGAGAGATCGGGCTGTGTGGCCCCAGGGAGTGGCTTACCAGCCAGAGAAACCACTGCTGGCCTTGACGGACAAATGATTTGACATGGCACAAGGCAGCATGTGTGTTCCAGCTCGGGAAATTGGTGTGAAATGGTGTAGGCTGCATTAGGTGAAATGGCTTGGAGTTGCCCAAGTGCTGAGCAAAAGTGCTTTGGTTCTTGCTCTTCTTTGCAATGGAAGGTTTTCCAAGTTTTTTTTGTTTTCAACTGGAAATTAAAGACTGGGAAAGGATAGTTATCCTCAGAGGACACTTGTTTTCTAAGGCTGCTCCTGTTAGAATGCAATGCCTTAGGTTGGGGTGGGTGGAAGATGAAGCTGGATTTAAGAAAGATCAAAGTAGACCCCATAAGGAGTGGTCTTTCTTGCTGTTCAAAAGATCTTGGATGAGGTGGAGCTTAAGAACTGGGCTCAGAGGGTGCGCATCATCCACACCCAGTTCCATCTTCTTTCAGCCTCAGGCTGAATCAAAGCAATGAATCAGCTGCTTCCTTCTCTCCACCTATGTCCTAATCTCCAGCTGACAGAGTCCTAGCATACACGCACACAGATCAGTGTTAGAGGCCTTACTCTATGGTCATTGAAAGAAGAGCCATTAGCCTGGTGGGGGTAAGAACAGGGCTTTCTTGGTGGTGGCCTCCACACCTTTGGAACTCCCTCCACCAGGAGATATGTCATTGCTGGCTTTAAAGCAAAACAGCACTTTAAAAATTCATTTATTCCAATTGCTTTTGGAGCTCAAAAATGGTTAGCTGCTATAGTTGTGTGTTTGTGTGTGTGTTTCATTGTAATAACATGTTCATGTTTTTGAAATTTTCTAAGCTGCCTTGTAAAGGCAGTGTCCCCTGAAAGCTGGGTCTAATACCTCTTAAATAGATACATATTGGGGGCTCTGTCCAAAAACATGAGGATCGATGTGCAATTTATGCCAGGTGGAGTGAGTGACTGTGTGTGTACGTGCGCATCTCCTGAATATTTCAGCCATCCCATTCACTCACCCCCCGCCCCCAGATTTCAGTTGCAGTATATCACAGTCCTATATCAGATGGATAAATCCTTGCTTTCCCAGGAATGATCTCTGCAAGCTCCCAACTGCACCAAACTGGTTTTCTTGAAGTTGTCCCTGGTTTGGGGGTAAAGTAGAGATTACTCAGATCGTGTTTCTGCAAGGATAGAAGGCTCCTTGGCCAGGACTCTCCTACTCTGTGCTCCCTGCTGCTCAGGCTTCCCCTTCTCTGCTGCTCAAGCTTCCCCTTCCCCACTTCAAGGCTCTAGCTTGGATCTTTTGCCTCGCTGGGCCGGTTTGCATGGATGGCTAGCCATTGGGCTATTCAGCGTGCAATAGCAGCTTGTCGCATCATTGCCTTGGTTAGCAAATGCATCCCAAAATGGGTGGCAGGCATGGGAGGACCCTGGACTTTATCTCCCCGCCATCTTTTCTGTTCTCCCACTGTCATGCTCTGTGTCCTGTTTTGCCCAGGGTTCTCCATTGCTGCACCGGCTTCCATTTCCTTAACAATCTGATCAACCTTTGTCGTTTGTAAAATCTCTTCTCCCTTTTGACTGCTTCTTTTTATCGCCCTTCCTTTTTTCTCATTTTTGTCATCTCTGCTCTACAGATTAGTCTTACTCATCATGTATCTGGCCTCTGTCTGCTTTCTCCTGCTGCTCCTCCCAACACCCAGGTGCTCTCCAGTGTTCAGGGAGCTTCTCTGTTTTCTTCTGCTGAGCCTTGGCCCTCAGGCCATTGCCTCTTCCCTTTCTTAGGTGTCCCTTTCCAAATGCCCTTTGTTTATGTTTTGGGTGTGTCCTGTTACACTCAATCATTCTACAATGCCTGGAGTCTGAAGTGTCTTAAATTACTATTATTTCAGAAATGGC